AGTCTGAGTTCGTGGGGGTGGTCGGCGTGCGGTGGGCCTGCCTTTGTGTGGCTGTCACTGGTGGGCCTGGGGGAAGATGCGGGTCCGTGTGGAGGTCGTCTAGGGTGAGGGTGGGGCGCTTGACAGGGCACCCTCCTGTAATCCCCTCCTGGGCGCGCTGCTGCAGCCGGGGAACATGCTTTCCTGTAAACTTTTAAGAACTCTGAGCAGAGACCAGTTCTTTGGGAGATCGGGCCTCAGTCTGAAAGTGACAGGTGACTTTGTCATTGCTGAGTAGGGCCAGGTGTGAGACTGGTGACTGGGCCTGAGAGAGTGTCTCTCTTTTCCTCTCATTTTCCTGGGGAGTGGTGAGTTCTTGCTTCTCCACCTACAATGTTGCAGCTCCTGTTAGCACAAAGGCGTAACTTAGTAGCTGTGTGCAATTTTCCAAAAGCTTTTATACGGAGACAGGACAAGATGAGGTGTCACAGAAGAAATGTCAAGTAGGCAACTTTTCCTCCCACGAGGGGTAGAAGATAATGAGAGAGAGAGATAAGCCTCCCCTGTAGATATCTAAAAAAAAGATAGCTATTTTCTGATGTGGTAGGTATGGGAGACTTGCTTTAAAAGCCAATTGCATCTCCTGGAGACTCTCGGGTTCAGTATTTTGTTATTGTGGTGTCAATAACAATCCTAGGTTGTGCATATGTAGATCCACTACAGATTGAGATAAAGGTTCAGAAAACCTCTGAGTAGTTAAGCTAGTTATGTGACAGACATTGGTAAAGGTGCTTTCGTTGACTGTAAACTGGCAGGTTCAGCTGAAACTGAGCCATAAATGCTGGTGATTCTCGGTGCACACTCACCACTGGCAGTTTTACTGACAAGCAGCACCAGGGAGGACCAGGTGGCCACAGCTCTCCCCGGGGGAGGGGCTTCCTTGGGCAAGAAGAAGGCTGATCTCTGCGGCCCTTTCCCTCCCAGCATGAACAGGTGCTTTTGTTTCCGTGAAGAATTGACTTGTGAGAGATCAGATCAGTGTTGAGCTCGTGGTCCACATTCTTTCTTTTTTTAATACCGTCCAGTTTGGTCACAATCTCAGTGAACCTTTTTGCCATATACGGAATGTTCTTCTTGTGACTTGGAAATGTACACCCCTTTATGAAAGAGAGTTGGGAGAACAAACTTCCTTTTCATGCTGCTCACAGCTGCTTTCCCTTTGCAGCATGAGCTTTTCTTCACTTAGATGTCAGTTGGTCATATGCAGCATTTGCTGTCTGTCTTACCTTTCATGTACTGCCAGACTAGCACAAGTGTTAAAATCACTTGCCTCTACAAAAATGTAGTCACAGGACTCGCTCCAGCAAGATTAGTTATAAAATGTTAGGATGCTGGGGTGGTTGTGAATAATACTCAGGACTGTGGTAAGGAATATCTATTTATTGCTATGGGAAGAAGTGGATGACAGTGAATGTATGTGTCTGTGTATAGTAGTTTGGTTAGTCCATTGCAGTTGATTGCAAACTGTGAATAATTTGTTTTATGCCAAGTTTGGTAAATCTAGAAGGAAGCTTTCTGCTTTTAATTAGCTAAGGTGTTTTAGAAATCTATTGGGTAGATTTTTTTTTTTTTTGCTAAACATGTTTTTTATGTTTTCTTCTTTAAAATGGTAATTGTTTATAGTAATGCAATAATAAAAAATGTCTCTGTTAGGAGCTATTTATATGATATAGGACTATTTCAAGTCTGTCCAGGTTGAAAATATTCCAGAATTAACTATATATGCTAGCTGCTTTCAATTAAAAGTGGTAAGCAGCTCGGGGAAAGGCTATAGTTCAAATTAAGATTTTTAACATGTTAATATTTAAGGGAAAATGGATATGCAAAGAATGATTTTCTTTATTTCAGTATGAATAAAAACTATATGTATCCACAGTGATTTTTAGGACTGGCTAATGATTTTCTTGGTACTTTAGAGCAATTTATAATTTTAACAAATTTTTCTAAAAGTACCATCTTAGCATTGAGAGAAGAGACCATTATTATAATGTCAAGGTTGTAAATCAAGTTTAATATTGGATGTCTACATTTCCTTGGGGTTCAATTTAGTAATCCCTCAAGGTTAGAGATAACAGTTAAGACTGCTGAGTGCCCTGTGTGACTGAGGGAAAAGATGTGGAGATCCAAGGAGGAAGAGCTCCATTGGTTTTATTTATTTATTTTTAATTTTTTTTTTTTTATTGATTTCAGAGAGGAAAGGAGAGGGGGAGAGACATAAAAACGTCAATGATGAGAGAAAATTATTGATCAGCTGCCTCCTGCAAGCCCCACTCCGGGGATTGAGCCAGTGACCCAGACATGTGCCCTGACCAGGAATTGAACTGTGACCTCCTGGTTCATAGGTCGAAGCTCAACCCCTGAGTCATGCTCGCTGGGCGAGCTCCTTTGGTTTTAGAATCCCCTGCCTCTGGTCAGTCCAGAGAAGCCCCTCTAAAATGACAGCTCAGAGTCAGCCCAGAAATCAAACCCTAAGATCCCAAGCTCATCCTAGCCCTCCTAGGAAATCCAGGCTTGCCCTGGGGTAGAGGACAGGGTACATTGTAGGTGTTTGAATCCTTCGAAACCAATGGGTGG